TACTTTGGAAGTGGATGTTGCTAGGAAGCTTCCTCATGTTCACATTCAATGTATTATGTATTTTCTCCTTCCCCTCTCCCTATATAACTCAGGCCATATGGCCATTGTAACCCATCTTTGAATATTGAAAACCATTTACTCTTTGAGTATTATTAAAATAGTGTGATGCTATTTTAGCCAAATTCCTAATTCTATATCTTAAGAGTGGTTATCTTAAGTGTGAGTTTTAGGTTCTAGATATTTGATTAAGTGTGTAGTATCTTAATTGAATTCTAGATTCAAACCCCAAGTTAGGATAAGAGTGTGTAATATCTCCTAACACCAACTTGGTTTTATCCATCCGTGATATTTCTTCCATTTCATATCCCTCCATTTCTCCTTCTTAATCCTATTCATTTTCTTCCATAAAATACCAAAAAAAGAACTAAAACACCCTCCATACTTTCGCCCACTATTTCCCTTCCATTTTCCTCCGCACATCCGCCACTAAAATAACAACTTGATAAGACCCCCGGTTCACCCCTAACAATAGGGATCTAAAATGAATCTAATTCCAAAACTAAAAAAATATAAAGGGAACTAAATCCATTCAACTATTTTAAAAAGTGAATTTATAATCCAAAATCTCAAAAACATACTACAGATATGTAGAGAGAACATCCGGAATAATCAATTGTTGAAGCAAGTCATCGCAATTTAGATCTCTATCTGAAAGGTGAAATAAAAGGAAATTGTAACTTCACAGAAAACTATGAAGTATTATGTTGCAACAAGATTATCTTGCTGGATAGAACAAGGAAACTGATCGCTTCAATGAAGAAGAAAAAGAACCAGAGAGAAGATAAACAGAGAGATGTTTGAGAGAGATAGAGGAAATTGAGATTTATTTCATGATTGATCCTTTACAGAGAGGGAAAATGTATTTATAATAACTTCACTAGCTAACAACCCTCTAACAACTTCAACAACTACTTAACTAACTAACCCTTAACAGCCTCCTAACCCTCATTAACTACTATATCATTGCTCCCTCCTTCAAAAGACTTGTCCTCATGTCTCAGCTTGAAAATCATCAAGTTGCTTTTAGATGATTGTCTTTGGAACGAAACTGGAAAATGAACTGCAATATGTAGACTTCCATGAAATGGTTTCAACCGAAATGGCCAGAGTATTTAGGATGGCTATTGGTATAGGTGGAATACCAGGATCAAATACTCCTCTGTACGGAGGCAGTTTTGTGGTTTCTTCAAAACCCTGCTGAACTCTCTTTGAAAGCCTTCAAGTTATGCACTCAAACCAGCCTTCACCTTGAAATATGCTTTTGAATCTTCCAGGTCTTTATTCAAATAAGTACCTCCTTTACCTGCACCATCAGGATCAAATACGATACCGAGATCAAACACCTCTCGGTAGGATGGTCCTCTGTTGGCTCTTCAAAGATTATTCTAAATTCTTTCATCAAAACTTCAAACTCACTAGTCAAGCCAGTGTTTCCATTATATTCACAATAATGTATCACCCTGGACATCTCTTTTTCCACTTCTGAATTTGATTGCAACAAACAAAACTGGGTGGAATTCTTGAACACATTTGCTGCTGGTGCTCCCTCCACCATCTTCATGCTCTTGTTCACCATTCCTTGTAATACAAAAGGTGCCTCTCCCGCTTGGAATTTCATAGTCATTTCCTTGAAGTCCCAACAAACTAGTACCAAAGTCTCTATCCATTGACCTCTTAAGATTATATTACAACTACCCCAAGTAATCATCGTAGCATCTGAGGTGAATTCCTTGTCATGTATTTCTCATGTGAACTGATCACTAACATTATGACAGGCTATGGTGTTCTCATCTGCTACTGCCACTCGCTGCTGGTTCAATCTTGCCTTCCAATGCTTTAGCAGTGTCTAGATTCAAAAAGTTGTGAATACTTCCTGAAGTAATGAGAACATGAATAGGTTCTTTCCTACCAAACCTATAACCCTCGTAGTTTGGTAGTTGTGTTCTCCATCCAGTGTTTGTTCACAAACATAAATATCAGAGTCTTCACCCCTTTTGCTTGGATCAAAATGATCTTCTATGCTTTCAATCATCCCATCTTCTGGTTCACTTTGATAGGTTACCAAAGTAGGTACCTCAAATCCCTTAATGACTGTAATTGAATGATGTTGATCAATTATGTCCTCTTTATAATCAGACAGGCACTCCTCCTGATCCGTGTGGTAAGCGCCTTCACCAGGTGTCTCCTATGTTGCACGGAAACTATGTAGGTTGCCGTACCCGTTTCGGAGACCTTGGACATGCAGACACGCCGCGGAAACGCCTGGAGACATCTCGGAAACCCCGCGTGGCATTTCTGTAATTTTATTTAAAAAAAATTGGGAAACGTGAGGGATTCGGCTGAGAGACGCGTCTCTTTTGGGAAACGGCCTAGACACCTCTTTTAAAAAAATGGGGTTTTTCTTTATTAATTTTATAAGTTTAGGAATAAAGCAAATTATGAGTATTATATGGCCCGCACGCGCGTGTGCGCGTGCACACACACACACATACATATATATATACTAGCTTGAAACACACGTTGTGCGTGTGGTGCCCAAGCTATTGTTACAAAAGAGTTACATAACAATTTCTTTTCTCTAATATTTACACTAATGGTTAGGATTTCTTATACTAATCTCCCTTACATATGGTGTGGTTCTGTGCCTATCCAAAATGACAAAAGTAGTAAAACAAAGCACCAATAATGAAAATTCTCTAAAATTTGAGAAAGAAATAATCAAAGATGGCAGAAAAATAGGAAGACAAATTCGTGACTAACCGTGCTGGGAACCAATAAATAGAAGCAGCGAGCAGCAATGATAAGAGCAACGATTATAGGAGCAGCTATGAAAATTCCTTTTCTAAATAAAAACTTGCAGATAGATGAAAATTGGAGTCGTCAATTGTCAAAACCACCGAGTGTTGGTGATTTCTTTTTTTTTGGGGGGGGGGAGTTGTGATAATTTTTTGTGGACAAAAGAACTCCACATGTATCCCTATCGCATCCCCGTAGAAAGAAAGTCATTAATCCAAACGGAAAAGTAGACGGAAAAAGGACAACCTTAAGGGTGCGCAAGGGCCGTATTAAAGTGACAGAAAAAATGCCAAAGTAAC